GCCCCTGTACTTCATGCGAACCCTGCACCGCGCCGAATGCCAGTAACAGAAACATCACCGTCCCAATAAACTCGAAGAAGGCCGCCTTGACATCATCCACGGCGGTCGTCCTTGGCCAGTAATTTCGGTGAGGTATCGTTGGTCTCGTCATCGTCGACCAGAAGAAAGATGCAGGAGATAGGAGTAAATTCTCCCCGTCTTCAAAGACCCGCCCATTGCGTCATTGTCAATGTGCCCAGTCGGCCAAGGCGATGTGTTTGACTACCCGCCTCGATCTTTCCGTCCTTTTTTGACAGATCCGTGCGATAGGAGCCAACATGACCACGTGATCGCGGATCGCCCATCTTGCAAGGGTTTAGGAGACGGTGAGCGACGGGAATGAGTATGAGCTCGATATCATTGTGACGGTGCGCATGGTAAGAGTTGTCCCTGTGTCCCTCGATCAGGTGGTGCTCCTCGGAAAATTTGACGTAGGACTGGCAGGACGAATCATTTCCGAACAATGGAGGACAGAATAACCTAGTCCCAATCCAGTTTGGAGTTTGCCCTCTGTCTCTTCGTCTGACTGCGTTTCTCCTTTTGCAGCATACGCTGCGCGTTTGCCTTCCGTTCTAACCCCCTCACGCGTTCCCTCTGCTCTTCCGACGGCTCATTCTGGATGTTCCGGGTTACAGCAGAACAAATCAGGGAATGCAACTACAGCAAATGGTAGGTTTTTTGTCACCTGCCGGAATGCCATCGGAATGATTGATACGCTCGTACCTTTGACAGACAGTCATCAACGTTCTGTGCCTGCGAACGATGGAGGGTCGATGTCAACAGAATGGAACGGGTTGATTTGACAAAATAGGGCTGCAGGGTTATCAATTCAGTACTAATGCGCGCATCAGGCCAGACAGACGCCCCAACACACCGACTCTTTGAGGCTATCGTGTGCCCAGGGAGGTATCCAAGTCGAGTCCAACGCACATCGCACAGTCGCCTTTGTGTTTACTTTATTGACGTTCTGCTCGACATCATTCGTTCGATACGATGCGGTGATAGGCATGATGCTAGGCAAACCTGACCACCGGGTCCGGAACTCCGGGAAAACGCGATGTCGACCGCCGCTCTAGGAATTCGGGATCCTCTAAAGCGCGCCACCCAGTCACGAGCAGCAGCGGCATCTTTCGAAGTTTCCAGATTTGAAAGAGGGGGCGGGGTGGGGAGTGACGTGGCTCCCAGCCTGTGTTTAGTTCTATGCCGTGGTGCGCGGACACCCACTAGCTGAACATGGACATGAGGCACAGATGACCCTGCAAGAAGAGCGTTCAAGGAGAGAAAGCTCGAACGGGCAAGAAGCATTTGCGTGTCTGTCGGACAGTGGCGTGTGATAAGAAAGCACTACAAAATTCGAGGCCCAATAACAGAAAACGTAATGCCCCGGCGAAGCGGTGAGCGCGCGGGGTCAGGCCGTCGAAGATGACAGCAGTTTTGACAACGTTCGCTTGTGGTACCTGCTGAAGCGTGGAGTGCTCCGACAAACTGTCTGACAGACAGTCCGAGTCGGTGAAACTGAAAGCGGCGACTGAGTCAGCGGCTCATTCCTGACTTTCCGCCACTCTCGCTCACGTTCTTCTGAGACTCGGGCTCAGCTCTTTCCCGGTCGCAACATCAGAATACAATCCAACTGAACACGGTGAAAATGGAGTGCTGATGCCCTACGTAAATGTGTGCAGAGCGCCATGCTTCCGGGCTTCCTCAATCCGCGGTTTCTCTTGTCTTCTTCACTTCACGACACAGTACGTTTTCTCATCTCGGGCCCTTGATGATGAAATGAATAGTACACGGAAAAATCCGCTTACGAATGGGCGGCGTGACACTTGTCTTGTTGGCTAACGAATGCACTCCCGCCGGACACCGCCTATCAGCGGCGCTGGTAATCGGGACTTCTATGTGCATAAGCTTTCTCGTGATTGCTATTGCTTTAGCCTGCCGCTTCTCGTCGTCATGCCCGAGGTGCGCAGGCGGACACGTGTCTGATACGGTATCATCAAGTTGGTCTCTTCAACGCCGGCCGAATGATGGGCGGTCGTAAGTTTTTTACTTCGGAGTCGCATGTCGTGCAATCATCAATCTTAATTTCACTTTGCCAAACACCGCACTGCGCTTTTTTTGCATTCGTATTCCTTGTTTCATACAAACGTCCGGGATCCCCGACCGGGGCATCCCTGTCTCGCCTCGTCTTGCTTCGACCTTCGATACCTTGTCGGCTTCGGCTTCGGCCTCCACCGACCTCCCTGCGTGGGCGCCGCTGCGCAGCTTACCATCACTTCGCGTGCCATCAAGGAATACACTGGCTCCAACTTGTCAAGTGGCCGATGTCCCAACGCGCGTCATTAGTGTTTGAACTCAAGCGATGAATGCTCTGCTACTATAGACACCGCATCAGTACGGCGGCCAGCGCAGCACCCTTCTGACATCATCAACCCTTGTACAGATCCGCGGACGCCGTCGAAGGCCACGGAAAGCAAGTGATAAGCTCTTTCTCGTTCTTAGATTCCGAGTCGTGGGGTGCACATACGTCCCAAGTGCTTACCCACTCCCCTTCCCTTGAACGATAAGCCGGGCAAGATGTGGTGTATCCACAGCTTGCTGAGGGAAGTTCCACATTGCATCTGAGAGTGTTTGGCCGCTGATCACTTTGACAATACCAGTGTTTTGCCCTTTTTATCGACTCTTGCCTTCGCGATGCAGTCAAGGTTCTATCGGTGCTCCCATGGCGAAAAAAACACGAGGTTGATCTGCAACGGGTGGGATTTAAACGAGGCTCCTAGGCGCGCCAGTGGCGTCGTACAGAGGTGCGAACCGATGCAACTTGGGCAGATCGGCTCTTGAGATGCAAGACCGATCGAAACTCGCGATGTGGCTCCGCGAGGCGGTGCAATCTCCCTTGAACCTTGAACACTTGCGCATCTCGCCAGGTAGCCGAGGCCTCGATTGGTGTGGTGTTCGTTCGCTTGGACGGGTGACTCTGTGGAAGCTGGAAATCCGGACCGTGATGCATCTTTGCGACTTTTAAAATAGTTGGGCTGAATTGGTAATGGCCGTGGATGAACGCATGGGGTTGCGTGCTGACCTTAACACTCGTAGTACTTTAATGCGGCTCTTGCGACGACTTTCTGCTTCATACAAACTTCCCCGACCGCGCCTTCCATAAACGAAAGTTTTTCCCGGCTTTCTTTTTGGTGGGTTCCAGAGTCACTTCTAGATCTCAACCACGCAATCGGCACACGTTGTCATGTTCATCCCGATTCTCAGCCAGACACGAGGACCAACCCGATTGGGGAGAGGGAGTGGAAGAAAATAGCAGTCGAGGATAGCGAATGGACTGAGGTAGGCAAACCTTTGGTTGGTTCTCACCCTTTTACCGACTTGGATGACCTTAATGCGAGATCGATGGCAAAATCAGCACAGCGTGCCATGACCTCCCCACCTCTGAGCTGAGGTATTTCGATTCACCTGTGCCAACAGTTCTCACGCCTTGGCGATCGAGGTAATGAATCAGTGAAATGGCCTCGGTCTGGGGGGTTGCATTATTGTGGCATTTACCCAGGAATACGACTTTTCCGGGTTCGCACGTAAACTCGAAAGTTCTAAGGATGAAAGACCCCCGACGTCGTGTGAGACCGCCGGTTATTCACCACATTTTCATTTCCTGGCACTTCAATCGGACTCCAGCCGAATGGAGATGATTTCCCGTTCCGAGGAGTCTAGTAGGCGTCCTCTCGCCCGAGTTTACTCCACCTTTCGGCAAGTCAATTTTCTCCGCCTGGGGAAAGAAGAGTAAGTTAGACTTCTTTCCCGGAAGTAGCAGTTGAAGGGTTCCGCAAGCTGATAGAAAATCGGGATTCAGTCCCTATCCATCTCGGTGAATCCGGTGACCACGAACAGCAGCCCCCCTTGTCCTCTCCAGTCGTGGTTGACTCGCGCCTCTGGAGAACGTAGCTACAGACGAGAAGCAGCATCTTCTAGTTTAAAGGGTCCAGAAGATCATGTCGACTCAGGACTCCCTCATAGGGCATTTTCGTCATCTTTACGTTGTCTCGGGACATGGTCGAGTATGATCAAAGGGTGATCGAAGTTCTGCCGCTGCTGAGAGGCTAAATGGTGAACGGAGGTAGTTAGTATCATTCTCGTGAGTGTTCTATTTTGGTCAGTCGAGTTCAGAGATGGCGCGCTAAGCGGCCTTGCCTTCAAATTCTCTGCCCCAGTTAGCTCTCCGAGTCGACAAATGTAAACTCTGGCCGCCTTCCTGCTTTAGAGCTTTTCAAGCCCGATTCCAAATTACGCTCAATTGGAAGGCGCCCTAAGCGCCGATATCGGCCTAGCCTGGAGCCAGTGGGGCGCCGGTCCCCTCCGCCGTCACGGTGGTGGTCCCACTGGCCTTCCCGGACTTTCTGCGTGGAGTCCCTGACTCCAGGGCCAGCGCCTACTGGATCTCATGGGGCCGGTCTACCGCGCCTTTGTCGCGACTATCGTTAAGCAGTCGATCTGCCAGTGCCTGCATCCCGAGAAGGGTTGGGCGTCTTGCTGAATGGAGGGCACATTAATGGTGACAGCCATGGAGCCCGTGTCCGGGCAGGGTTCCCAGTCATAATAGTAACGTTTGGCTCGCACCTCCAGGAGAGGGTGATGGCACGATACAGTTCGGATGGTCCATATCTGTTGGCAATGAAAGATTGTTGGCAAACTGAATAACTCTTCGGATGTATCTTGAGATCAGCGAGTCCATCCTCTTGACACCTACAGGCCGCAAACGACGTCATTGTGAGTACTAGGTATGGAATTGTCCAAATAAAGTTTGACTTCCTGTAAACAAGGATGTTGATTGCAGTATAAAGAGTTCAATGGTCAGGGAGGTTTATGATAAATGGACCATAATTGACTCGGAAGTCGGTGTTCCCCGAAGAGACGAGGAGCTTTCCTTGACACTGTGGTCGACGAGCGCATCAACGGGCTCGGATATGGTGTAACGGCTAACATTGCCGCCTCTCACTCGTGTAGCTGGTATCGCGGCAGCTCGGGGTTCGATTCCCCGTATCCGAATGATTTTATTACAGTCGACTCCCTCCTAACCAATACCTTTCGGTTACACCATGGGGCTATGGGTTATGCCAGTGAGGGAGTATGGGATACGAGAGCGTGTGTCAAAAAAGGGTTCAAATTCACTAGGAAACTCGTAAGACATGTGAAGCTGTATAAATATAAAGCATGCATGTTGGAAAGGTACATGTAGCCCGAAAAGTGAGCCCAAAGGCACCCCTCCTTGAATTGTGGCCTCGTGTTTTTGGCAACACCTAGCTAAGCATGTCTACCAACCACTCGCAGTCGAAGGTCAATAACTCACTTGGTCATTTTCCCTTCATTTAATAACTCATCTTCAGCAAACTATGCATGCTCATGAAGCAGACGCGAAGGGCGCCCGCGAGTTTGTGAGGGACTTTGAGGCAGGGAAAGATGGGGGAGACAGGACAAATGAGAGAGAGGAGCTGACAGGCCCGGTAGCTCGCGTTCAGCGTCATGTTCAAACTGGAAGAGGAGGGAGGTTGCCACAAGGTAAAAGCAGCTCTTGAGGGCACTCAGAAAGGGCGAGAGGAGCAAACGCAAGGTAAACTGCCGCTGTAATCGTAAGTTTGCTGAGTCTAACAATGGGGCGATGAACGAGCTCTAAGGGATCAAAGGAGTCAAAGGGATATCGAAGGAAAACGAGGCTCGACAAACTAGACTAAGTAGCAGCGTATAGTAAGATCTAAGCAAGAAAATTTCTTGTTTAGATCTTACTATACGCTGCTACTTAGTCTAAAACATGATACCGGAGCACGAAACCGAAACGCGAAGAGTCAAGTCTAATAGGGGTGGCCCAGCGTGCCGGCGCGAAGCCACAAGTGTGGCCGTGAGGCTGGAGGCAAGGCCCTTTAATGAGTGAGTGGGCGTCGAGGGCGCTGCATCGCGGGGTCGAGAACAAAGGCGGATGGGCGACGAGGAGGCTATGGTGTGCGGTCGAGGACAAAGACGATGAAAGGGAGATGGGCACGGGAACGAGGCGATAACGAGCGAGTGAGGCAAGAGGCAGTGAAAGGGTTGACGTGGGGGATCGCGTCCGCGTTGGCCAATACCCCCCTCAGGCTGTATCCACGGCTTTCGCGATCAACGGCACTGCTCACCTTACACTCACACATTTTTGGTTAGGACTGATATATATCAAGCAAAAAATCCCAAAATATGGGTTATGGGGTATGAGGGAGGTATGGGTTATTGGCCTGCTAACGAAGTTGGTAACTCGAAACGTTATGAGAGGGTTAGGACGTATGGGACACATGAGACAACGGTCTCTCGACGAATGAGTGCGTTTGACATATGCAAGGGCTATGCTACGTGCTGAAAATGCTATGATAAAGTCCCGTATATTGCCTCCGACAGCTGCACACTAGAAAGAAGGTTGTCAGTGAAGGCTCAATAACGATGAGTGACAGGTTCTGGGGAATTCAGTGAGCCTTGCATGTGACATCGTAGCCGAAGCTCAGAAACAGCTTCTAGTTGTTTCTTTAAAATTTCTCATCACGAAGTAGAACAGGAATCGGAGGCTTTGGTCCAGAGAAGACTTACGTGAAGTGAGACAAAGTGGGCTATCTAGATAGAAGGCGATTAGCAATCGGGCAAAAAAGGGCTCAGAAAAGGTTAAGATGAGTTCAGAGAGGGTTGCCCGAAAAAGTGAGCTGTGGCGGGCATTTTCGGCAGCGATTATACGAAGACCGTCGTGTTAAAGGGCATCATAAAGAAGTCGCAATGTCGTGTGAGAAGGGGGAAGTGTCGAACTTACTTTGATGAATGGGGGTTCGCACGAACAGTTAGGCCACCATGAGCACATCGCAGGCCAGAGTCGCCCTGTAAGAAAGACAACGTCAGCACTGGACTGAAGGACCAGTGGTCGGTCGGCAGATCAGAAGATAAAACAGCCGGATGTTATCGTCAAATTTCGGACCGTGTTCCACAGCCGAGCTCAGGCGGTAAATCCATGAAATAACATCATAGAGCGATGACGAGGGTAGTTTACTTACCTACGGAGCAACGTTCTGAGGTGCACCTTCAGATTAAATCACCTAAAGTCATGGAAGAGTCTGTAATGTGAGCGACTTGTCTCGAAGGGCCAGATGAGCGGTGAAGTTCAGAGTATGAAAAGTTAAGAACATCGAGCCGGAGCTCTCAGATACTCTAGTTTGAATGGGTTTGGATCGTCCTGACGAGGGTAGAGTTGATGGGTTGAATGACTCACCTCAAAGACCAGTCCGAGTCATTTATTGGCCAGGTGGAGGTGCTGGGAGCGAGGTGAGTAGACGGGCCATGAAAAAGGAGCAAAGAGAAACGGTGGGTCTAAAAACCGATCAGTGTAACTATGACTATATTAACCAGTCTTTGCAGCGCCATTTAGGTATAATGACACGCTCGTACAAAGGGATTCATCTTGTCGAGTTTGTAAGAGAAAGACTCACTGTCATGATGGACTGAACTGAACCGTTGCAGCCGAGCCGAGCATTTTTGAGCCATCGTGACCACTTTAGGGTCGGCTTCCTCAATGCGACCACCTCTCGCGTCTCAAAGTCAGTGTTCCTCCTTAGCAGACACCCTCTGCTCACGCTACGCAGGATTTTTCAGGACGAGTGCGTCTCCGGTTGACCTCGCATACGATGTTCTCCGTCCCGGGCACAACTCAAAGGCGGAACGGCCGCTGGTCATTCTCCACGGGTTGTTGTGTGTGTTTTCTGGCTTCATTTTCGCCAACCGTGTAACTCACAGGGCGGCAGTGGGATGAGACGGAATTGGCTATCACTATCCAAGGCTTTCCACCGTGACCTCCAGCAGCCTGTCTACACCCTCGTACGCTCGTGTCTTTCTGTCTAAGGTTTTCATTCTTTGATATTTCCTCTCCCGTGTTAGGACCTGCGCAACCATGGCTCCTCTCCTCACGCAAGACCGATGAACTACGAGGCAATGGCCACAGACGTCCTCCACTTCCTCCGGTCACATTCGCTTCTGAATGTTTCTCTTCTCGGTCATTCCATGTAAGTCTCGAACGTTCACCTCCTGATACATTCATGAACGTTGAGACAAACGATGTATCATGCAGGGGTGGCAAAGTCGCTATGGCCGTCGCCCTGTCCCCCGAACTCCCTACCGACGCCATCGAACATCTGATCGTGGCAGATATCGCGCCTTCCAGTGCAGCGCTCTCCACCGAGTTCCAAGGCTACATCGAAGCCATGCATAAAGTAGAGCAGACCAAAATCAACTCTCGACGGGAAGCCCAGGACGTTCTAGCACCTTACGAGCCCGTGCGTCTACTGGCAGTGCTGCGCCACGTTTTTCTCTCCGGAAAATGGATACTAACCGCAAGCTCCTCTCAGGACCCGATGACGCGCGCGTTTCTTCTGACCAACCTCGACGCCGCTTCCCAGCCTTTCAAGTTTCGAGTCCCGCTCGACATCATTGGGTCTTCGATCCCGGACCTCGGCAGCTTCCCTCATCAACCGGGTGAACGCTCTTGGCACGGGAAGACGCTCTTCGTGAAGGGCGCGAAGAGCAGGTATATTAATAAGAATAATATACCCATCGCAAAGGAGTTTTTCCCGAGTATGTCTCTGGAGACGCTAGATACCGGTCACTGGGGTACGTGCAGATGCTTGCGTTCGAAGGAAAGCGCCAACTGAATTCTTTGATGTATTAGTGCACGCAGAAAAGTACGTTGGGCCTCCCCAGTCGCCTTTCTGTATGTTGAACTAATGCCTAATTGTAGGCCGAATGAATTTAAGAAGATTGTCGTAGATTTTGTCACTCGGACATAGACCCTCTGTATCATTACCGTGACCTTGCTGACGCATTAATTCAGTATATAAATCATTTTCTATTCGTGACTCCTCGAGGTTTTCGACTTTCGTCACAGCAAGCAGATATCATTGAAGCAAGAGGGTATCGATCCAGAGCATCCTACGAAATCGCAAATCAAGTAGCAGCAGTCGAGTTGGCCAATCCGTTCTCCCAAACCCTATATCTCTTCGTGCCTCTCGTCACATCCTCCACGTTCCAAGTCCAGTTCCCACCCAGTCGCCTTACTCCCATGCCCACCGGAAACGAGCGTATTCATCTTGTCTGCCTCATGTTCCGCCGGTGCGCCACTACCTTGCAGCCCGAATTTCTGCGGGAGCAACAACGGACGGATCCCACTTCTATACGCATACCCGGAAGCACCGTCGCGTACGCTCGGGCGCACGGGCGCATATGGCCTCGCGACGCCTCCCCTCGCCATCGCGTTTGCCAACGCGCACAAGTATTCAAGTTCGCTATCCTCGTGTTGCGTGCCGGACAGCTGCGGGGCAGATGCAGCATGAATCGGTGAGCGATAAACGCGCCCGGATCTGGTACCTCCCACGATGTTACTATCGCCATCGCCACCGGTATCAGCGGCGGTAATGGTATTAGTTGGCTCCGTGGCAGGAATGGCGTGGATGCTGTAGTGCCGCTCGTGACCGTGATGCTTTCGTTTCTTTGTGCGGCGGTACGGCGAATAGTCGCATGCCCATGCCCACGCTGATAGATCATACGCGTTGCCGAGACCGAGCGCTACGCGTGCACCTGGGGCGTAATATTCTCTCCCGTGCGTTCCGAAAGGGTCTTCGCCGTCTCCGTCTTCTCCCGCTCCTCTATCGGCAACTCTTCGCGTGCGACCTCGGTCCTCCCCGTTATCACCGTGTTGCTCGTCGTGGACATCCATGTATCGATGCATCGCAGCACCGGGGCTCGACGCGCGGCGCGCGGAAAGTGGGAGCGACAGCGATATAGGAAACGATAATGAGAGCGGTGAGCGTGCCGTGATCGAGGCGGACAACGTCCGGAATCGGTTGCGCGCACGCAGATGCGGGCGTATATGCAGGCGCGGCGTCACTGAAGCAGCTTGGTAGTCGGCCCTGGAGGCTGGAAAGCCTAGCGCTGTCGTTGGCGTGGCAGGTGTGCTGATATCGCAGGAGGAGGACGACGCGCAGGATAGGGTCGGG